AGTAAAATGCAGTAAGATCAGAACAAAGCAGAACTGAAATGTTATCAAACGCACTGACGGACGGAAAAGACGAAACAGCAACTGTACAAAAAACAAGTATTAATGTGCACTACAAAATCTAAAGAAAACATAATAATTTACGTTAACGCAATTTAAAACCCAACGATGAACTGACCTTTTCAATAGTGGCCAAAATTCTCTCGTGATCGGCAAGTTCGTCAAGGCGTTCCCAAAATAATTTGGCATACTGTTCAACCTGTAATAACAGAATCACGATGAGCGGGAAGCGCAGAAAAAGGAAGTACTGGAAGCAAAGGAAAATAGAGCACGAAATGAAATTAAGGGACCTCAACTGGGGTTTTGCTGTCAATTTCCTTAGCAATATTTTCCAAATCATGCCGACCGTACTTCTCATTGGCTTTGATAAACTGTTGAAATTCTCGACGGCTCCAGGTACTTTGCCCCTGAAAATTAAAAAACTAGTTGTGCCTCAAAGCACTGCGGCGCGCACTTATCACAAAAATTCCTCCTCCAATTAAAAATTTACTTGCGTGAGCAGCTGCGTCTTTTCGTTTTGCTCTTCTTCGGTAAGAGGCACAGCACTGTCAATCTTTTTTTGTTCTTCTTTCTGTTTCTTTTCGGCCTCTTTTAGCGGAAGATCCGGTGGTTTTTGTGCCTGAAAAATCGCTCTTCTCAAACTCAAGAAATACAATTTGCATGCTGCAAACTACGAAGGAGCTTTGATCCATTCAAAACTGATTGAGAGGGATGAGGAAGAGGTGGAGAAAGGAAGAACGAGAGGAGCGAGTTTGCCTTTTACAATATTCCATTTTAGAGATTAGAAATACGCAGTCCAGAAAAAGCTTCTTTTCGCAATTTCGACAAAGGCGTTAACAAAACTAAAGTAAACAAACTGGGGCAGGGAGGAAGGAAGCCTGACACAGCAAATCCGCTACGGTTGCTACGGGCTTTAAATACGTAAGAAGTGATGGCCAGTCACAACAAACAATCCTGCTTCTTCTTCAGTGTGTGCTTATCGAAATATGTCTGTGTACGATATTTGTCCGAAATATGCCATTCTTTGATGCCCTTCATTCCCATTTAGCCTTTTCGAAATGGTAATTTCTATCGGCGAAAGTCCCCTAAGCGATATTGTAACGCAACAATATCGAGACCTACGAAGCTAACTGCTTTCTCCTCAAAACTGGTACTTCCACCCAAGTCATTTCGCATTCGGAACTATCACAGGCAAGACCCGAAACATAGAAACCACCAGTAAAATGGCAACATATTCTAGCAGCAAGTTTTGATTTCTCTAATGATTACGCTGTTGGCCTGCAAGTTGCCATTTCATGGCAATTTATTCCATTTTATTCATTTCTTTATCAACACCACAGCCGCCGTACCGATGAGGTGCAGTTTTGGTGCTGAAGAGGAATGTTACGACTTTTAATGGACCGAAACATCCCCTTTTCATTCAATTTTTTCATACGTAAATAATATTTTTATTATATACTGCACGATCACGAATGTTACAAAATGTGCATCCTCCTATCGCTCTTTCTGCGATAATGAGCATTTGTTTTGCTGTCACCGGTGATTACACTTTACAACTTTGCGTACCGTCAATAAAGGAAAAGTTGAAAAGTTTCAGCATTTTGAGTCTTCTGGTAAAGTAGTCAGATTGCAACCAACCAACAGCTCTTCGACAAATTTTTGATTGATTGTCACTCACACTGACTTACTCCCGCCGCCCCTCTTGTTTCAAAGGAAAACGAAACTGCAAACTTCTGAGTTCATGCACCTGACACCGGCGTTCGAACATTCCATATCAAATTCGTATTTTGACGTGTTAGTCATCAATTGAATTTCTTATGCGCAAGTGTAAAACTCTTTCATTACTCTCAGTTATTAATGATAAGACCAATATCACTCGCAACGTGCAAATGATTTAGTCATCTGCCATTGATACGCAAACCCCTTTCAGACCCACTTAAAAAACATTATTTTGACAAACACCATCACAGGGTTGGGTTGAAAGTGCCTAAAACGTATCAAAATAAACAGCAACGCGCACCAGACTAGCCGGTGCGATCATGCGTTTTGTGCAATTCAGCCCAT